TTTCTTAGACCCATTTTTCATCTGTATACCTTCTCTGATGAAATATCTGTTCAAATATTTTGCACATTTTTACCAGGTTTATTTTCTTACTGTTTTCTTACTGTTTCTTACAAGTTCCTTGCATACTGGATACAAGTTCTTTATCAGACAAGTGAGTTATAAATCTCACCCTCGCTATGTCATTTGATTCTTTTCATGGTGTCTTTTAAAGAGCAGAAGTCCTTAATTTTGATGAAGTCCTCCTATGTTTTCTTCTAAACATTTTATAGTTATAGGATCCATTTTGAGTTAATTTTTGCCGGTGATGGAAAGATGGGATCGATATGAATTTGTTTGTGTCCCATCACCAGTTGTTAGAACACCATTGGTTGAAATGACCGTCTTCATTTGCAGAAGAATCGCATCTGCGCCCCCTTCTAAACCGTCAGTTGGCCCTAGGCCCCCGGCTCCATCTCTCGGCTGCTACACCTCGCCGACCTCTGTCCCTCTCAGTGTCGACCCCCGCTCTCTTGAGTACTATAGCTTCAAATAAAATAAGGCTCGAAATGAGTAATATAAGAACTCCAACTTTGCTCTATATTTTTCAAAATAGTTTTTTGCTATTCTAGTTCCTTGACATTTCAAAATAAATTTTGAAATCAGCTTATCAGTTTGTAATCCATAGATCAGTTTGAGAGAATTGCCGTCCTGACAATACTGAGTTTTTTGATCCATCAACGGATGTTTATTTGGATCTTTAATTTCCCTCAGCAATGTTTTGTAGTTTTCCATGTAGAGCTCTTGCACATCTTTCCTCAAATTTAGTCTTAAGTATTTCGGTTTTTTGTACATTGTAACTAGTATTTTTAAATTTCAATTTCCAATATTTCGTTTCTGATACGTAGAAATACAGTAGATAACTGTATATGGACCTTGTGTCCCACGACCTTGCTGACCCCGCTTACTAGTTACAGAGCTCTTCAGATTTTGTAGAATTTTCATCATGGATGGTCACATCGTGTGCAAAGAAAGGCAGTTCTAGTTCTTCCTTTTCATCTGGATTCCTTTTATTCTTCATCTTGCCCCACCGCAGAGGCGCCCCGCTGCAGGGTTGAATAGAAGTCATGAGGCCAGACAAGCTTGTCTTCTGCTGATTTTGGGGAGAAAGCGTTCAGTTTCCTGCCATTAAGGAAGGTGTCAGCTGTGCCCTTTTTCAGGCTGGAGACCCTTCTCCTGTTTTTAGTTGGCTGAGAGTTTTTATCAGTGATGTATTTTGAATTTTGTCAGATGCTTTTTTACATCTATCAGATGATCATGTGGCTTTTCTTTTTCAGTCTGTGAATATGGCAAATTACCAAGGCCGTGTAACTACTGTCTCTATCTAGTTCCCAGACATTTCGTCACCTCCGTATAAAGCTCCATCCCCAATGAGGAGCTGCTCCCCACACCTCCGCCCGCCCACCCCCCCCCCGCCCCGCCCCGCCCCTGCCTCCCGGCCCCTGGCAACCGCCAGCCTGTGTTCTAGCTCTGTGGTTGTACTCGTTCTGGATATTTTCTATAAATGGAATCATACAGCATGTGACCCTTCATGTCTGGCTTCTTTCACTTAATGTTTTTTGAGATTCATCCATGTTGTGGCATGTACCAGCATTTCATTCCTTGTTTTAGCTGAATAATACTTCATTATATGTATATACCATGGAAGGTTATTCACATCTTTTGGCTACTGTGAATAGTTCTGCAATGAGTATTGTTAGAGTCCCTGTTTTCCGTTCTCTGGGGTATAAAACTAGGAGCAGAATTGCTAGGTCATATGGTAATTCTGTGACCACTGTACTGAGGAACTGCCAGAGTGTTTCCCCGGCAGCTGACCATTTTACACCCCCACTGGCCGTGTGCGCCGGCTCAGGTTCGCCGCGTGCTCACCAAAGCTCAGCGCTCTCCGTTCGGTGGATTGCAGCCGTCCTGGGGAGGGTGAAGGGGCGCCTCCGTGTGGTTGGATTCGCATTTTCCAGCTGACTTACAACACCGGTCATCTCTTCAAGTGCTTGTTAGCCATCCACATATGTTCTTTGAGGAAATGTATATTCAAGTCCTTGGCTTGTTTTTAAAAATTAGATTGCTTGTCTTTTTTTATTTTGGAGCTACAGGAATTCTTTATATGTACAAGATACTAGACCTGTATCAGATATATGATTTGAAAATATTTTCTTCCATTCTGTAGTTTGTCCTATGACATTCTTTATGATGTCCTTTGATACAAACAAGTTTCGGTGAAGTTTAATTTATCCACTTTATTCTCATGTTGCTTACACTCATATCTAAGAATCCATTGCTAAATCCAGTGTCATGAAACTTATTCCCCTATATTTTCTTCTAAGTGTTTTATAGCTTTAGCTTTTATATATAGACTGCTGATCAATTTTGAGTTAATTTTTTGTATATGGTATGAGGTAAGAGTTCAAGTTTATTCTTTTCTTTGTGGATATATGGTCTTCCCAACACCATTGGCTGAAGAGACTGCATTTTCCCACTGGATGATCTTGGCATCATTTTCAAAAATCAACTGACCATAATGTACAGATTTATTTCTGGACTCTTGATTCTATTCCATTGATATGTATATCTAGCTATATGCCAGTACCACACTGTTTTGATTATTGTAGCTTTGTAGTAAGTTTTGAAGTCAGGACGCATGAGTCATTCAGCTTTGTTCTTTTTAAAGATTATTTTGGTTATTTGTGGCCCTTGTACTTCCATATGAATTCTAGTATTTTTGAAAAAAAAAGGCTATTAGAATTTTGGTAGGGATTGCATTAAATCTGTAGATCACTTTAGGTAGTATCTCGATCTGGAGTCTTGTAATCCATGAACATGGAATACCTTTCCATTTATTTAATTTTCTTTCATTTCTATTTAACAATATTTTGTAGTTTTTAGTGTACAAGTCTTTCACCTTCTTGATTAAATGTATTCCTAGATATTGTCTTTTTTTTGGGTGCTGCTGTAAATGGTATTGTTTTATTAATTTCTTTTTGAAAATGTTAATTGCTAGTGTATAGAAACACAACTGATTTTTGTACGTTGATCATTCTCTTTTTTTTTCTTTTTAGCTCAGTCTCACCCCTGCTTGCCCAAAGATGAGTTCTTTCTCTTTTTTTTCTTTTCTGTGTGTTTATCTTGTACCCAGAAACTTTGCTGAATTTGTTTATTAGCTCTAGTAGTTGTTTTGTGGATTCTTTGATATATTATACATCATGTCAATGTGAAAAGAGATAGTTTTACTATTTCCTTTTAATTTGATATCCATTATTATTATCATCATCATCATTAGTACCTATTCTGGCTACAACTTCCAATACAATATTCAATAGCTGTGGTGAAAGCAGGTATCCTAGTCTTGTTCCTGATTGAAAGTTTTTAATGACATTTTTATTTTTTGAGAGACATAAGGCTATTTAATAGATTATCTATTTCTTCTTTCATGAGATTCAAGAGTTTGTGTCTTTCAAGAAATTTTTCCATGTCATCTGAATTGGCAGTTACTTGGCATGAAGCTGTCCATGGTATTTTTGTTGTCCTTTTGATAGCTTTAAAACTTTTAGTAATGTCACCTCTCTTGTTTGTGATATTGGTAATTTGTATATTCTCTCTTTTTCCTGATTAGTCTTCTTAGGAGATAATAAAATTTCTTATCTCCTCAGAGAGCCAGCACTTTGTTTTGTTGTTTTTCTGTTGTGCACCTCCCAGATTTCTGCTCTAAATAGTTTCACTTGCTCTCATATCATTACTATCGGTTTTATTTCTCCTCTTCTCCTAGTTTCTTAAGGTAGAAGCTGAAGTCATTGATGTGAGTAAATGACTTGACATCCATCTTTATTATTCTACAATAGGCATTAACTGCTATAAAATTTCCTCTAAGTACCACTTTAAATGCATCCCACATATTTTGATATATTGTGGTTTTTTAATTCAGAAAAAATTTAATTTATTTATTACTTTTATTTCACTCATAAGTTATTTAGAAGTATACAATTTAGTTTCCAAATATTTGGGGATTTTCCAGATATCTGTTAACAGTATCTAAATCTTTTGTAGTCAGAGAACATGCTTTCTATGAATTGAATACTTTTAAATTTACTGAGACTTGTTGTGTGGCTCTGAGTATGGTCTATCATGTTAAATGTGCATTTGAAATGAATGTGTGTCTTGCTCTTGTCATGTGAAGGGCTCTATAAACACCAGTCAGTTAAGTTGCTTGGTAATGTTTGTAAGTGCTTAATATCATTCTTGGTTTTCTATCTGACGTCTTCTGTTCACTATAGGACAGAAGGGGTGGTAAAATCTCATCTGTCACTTGTGGAATTCCTTCTTGAAGTTCTTGCTTATGTATTTTGAAGCTCTGTTATTGGGTGAGTACATGTTGAGGATAGTTATGTCCCCACGATAAATTGACCCCTCTGTTATGATTAAATGGCCCTCTCTATTAAAATATTCTTTGCTCTGAGATCTATTGTCTAATAATAATGTAGATAGGCCAATTTTCTTTCCATTTCTCATCCTTTTACGGTTATCCTACTTGAGTCTTTATATGTAAAGAGGGGTTCTTGTGGGCAGCACCTGTGCGGGCCTTGCTTTCTTGTCCTGTCTGAAAATCTCTGCCTTTTAGTTGGGTTTTTAGACCACTTACATTTAATGTGATTATAGAATTTTTATTTTTATTTTTTTGGATTTAAATCAACCATTCTGCTAGTTATTTTTTACTTGTTTTTTCTTTAGTCCTTTTATCTTCTTTTTCTGATTTCTTTGGAGTTGTGTATTTTTGATGATCCCATTTTGTCCTCTTTGTTGACTTATTAGCTATGTCCCATTGTTACGTTATTTCAGTGCTTGGTTTAGGTGTTATAATGTACATACATTGTATTACTTTCCTGTTGCTTTCTAAAACATTAAAGTAACCTTGGCAGCATGGAATAGCACACATTTCTTAGTGTGGTCTTCCCCTGGGTCCGGTTCCAGGGACAGCATAGCTGGGTCCTCTGCTCGGAGTCTCGCAGCCTGAGCCTGGCACTCCGCCTGCGTCTTGGGGACCCCTTCCATGCTCATGGGGACGGTGGAGGAGCTCGCAGCGGCCTCGTTCTTCAAGGACACCCAGAGATCCTCTCTTGTGAGTGTCTGCCCTGTAGCCCTTCTTTTAAAGAGCACGCAAGATTAAGTCAGGCTGATCCAGGATAATCTCCTTCTTGATTAACTCAAAATCCATTGAATAAGGGCCTTAATTAAATTTGCAGAACCCACCTTTGCCATATCATGCGAGTGGCATTACCGTGTCCGTGGGTCCCACCTGCACTCAGGGAGAGGGATTGCACCGGACGTGCGGGAACCTGGGGCGTCGGAGAGCCCTCCCACCCCAGCAGCGGCCCTGACTCAGCATGGTCTGCCTTTAAGGGACATTACACTGCTTCACACACAGCATGGAGACCTTGTGCCAGGTCCTCCCGTTGCCTCTCTCAGGCTGAGTACTGGCACTGATTTCCGAGGTTGCATAACAAAGTGCCATAAGCTGGGATGATCAATAACAACAGAAATTTATTCTCTCATAGAGAGGAAGTCCAAACTCAAAGAGCTGACAGGATTACCTCCCCCTAAAACCACCAGGGAACCTTTCCTTGCCTCTTCCCAGCTTCTGCTGGTTTTCCCGGAATCTTCGACACCCCTTGGCCTGCAGCTCCAATCTCTGCCTTCATGGTCACATGATGTTCCCTGCGTGTCTGTCTTCCAATGGCCATCTTCTAGGAAAGACACCAGTCACGTAGGATTAGGGGCCCATCCTACTCTAGAATGTCATCGTAACTAATTACATCGGCAGTGGACCTACTTCCAAATAATGTCATAGACGGAGATGCTGGGGGCTAGGAATGTAATGTAGCCTTTGGGGGGATCTTGTCCAACCCATAATAGTGCTAGTGTTATCGTTTATTTTTAATGTTTACAAATCCCACACTACATTATTTTTGTTTTGAACAGTTGACTACATTTTAAAGATATTTAAATAGAAAAAAATGTTCTATTTTCACCCATGTAGCTGTTGTGCTCTTGATTCCTTTGTGCAGACCACGGGTGGTGCTGAGGCTGAGCAGGCCCCGCACGCATCCGGGGCAGCTGCCCCCGCACGCCGGTGCGGGCCAGGGCGGGCCGGCCGGGCGAGCAGCCCCTGCAGCCGCACGGCGTCGGGCACGCAGGGCCCCTCACCTCCTTCTCCTGGGTCCGTGCACAGTCCCGCAGGGCTGCAGCCTCAGGCTTTGTTTGAACAGCCATGGCTGCCTACACGGTGGTCTCTCTTCACATTCCTTTGCGATTGAAGTTCAGAGTTAGCGAGTGGTCAGGGGCCCAGCCTGAACTTCCAGGGAGCCAGCGAGCGGCACACTTCAAGTGTGTGGGCATGTCAGGGTGTACGTGACACTTAAATAAAAAGTCAAACGAAGGAAGCAAGCAGCACGCTCTAAGGCTAACCGGGAACCTGAGGGCCCAGGCCCTGCCCCTGGGCGGGGCGGGGCTGTCCGTGGCAGGGCGTGCCGGGCGCCCATCGGTGGCCAGCCTGGGCTGCAGGCAGGGGCTGGTGCTCAAGGGCAGTGCCCTTCCGGACAGGACTCTGCAAACTTCAAAGTGTGGCGCACACGCCAGTCTCACCTCAGAATCGCAGTTTGTCTTCTGGCTGCTTTGGGTCGTGATGCTCTTCTCGGGAGCGGTGACGGTGACGGTGGCTTTAGAAAAGGGGTGTCTGCAGCTGCTGTCCTGGGGCAGGGGAGGCCCCTGCGCACAGCCTCTGCTTTGACAAATGACGTGGAATCGACCATCCCTGCTTTTTGTGAAGCTCAGTGCTTGCCTGTGTTACTGCCTCTGCAGACCAGCGAGTGGCTGGGGCGGCGGGACACTGTGCCCGTCGCCTTTCAGTGGCACTGACTGGCTTCCCCAGGGCGGCAGCCGGTTCCGATGCCCAGGGGCCCCGGCCGGCCGGCCGCCGGCCATGCCACGCCACCTCCGGCTCCTGTGTGCGCTCTGCTGGTCTTTCTTTCTCCCAATGAAATCGCCTTGATGCTTCTCTGGGCAAAAACCAGTTACTAGGTCCTTAAAGATGAGATAATCCCTGCTGTCACGGGGGCACCCGCACTTACCCCCGGGTGCACGGGGCTCCTTCTCGTTGTTCTTCCCTCCAAAGGTCCACTGGTACTAAGCAGGGCCTGAACAGGACCTGGCCTTTCTCACCCCGTAGCTGGCATTGCTTTCGGAACCTCCTGTGCCCCTCCGGAGGCTGCGTGCAAGGCCCCTGGGGAGCGGGGCTCTGCTTGGCCAGCACCTCCCGGGGCAGGTGCCAGGGATCACACGCCCGCCCTGGAGAGTGTCCCCCAGGGATCGCTAAGGCCAAAGCTGTCACCTCAGGCTGGCATCTGCCAGCCGGTGTGCGTCCCCTGGGAGGGTCCTCGGAGCCTGGGGCACCCCTGCTGCGCCCCGCTCCTCCCCTCTCTGATCCGCTTTCCCTCCTGCGGCCCCCGCCACCCCACACCTCTCCGCGTCTCCTCCCTGCGGTCTTCCTCGTCTCGGTCAAGCCATCCAAGTGGTCAAATGCAGACCCAGAGACCAGAGGGCCTTTCCCGTCAGCGATGCCCCTGCCGTTCAAACGTCCGCTGGCCTGTGAGTGTCGCCCTCCGGATCTGTCTGGACGCGGCCTTGTCTCTCCACCCCTGATCCGCTCGCTCTGCACCCACGACTCTCCCGGCAGTCGGAGCCCTTCCAGGGCCGCCGCCTCCTCCCACTGCCTCCCGCTCCCACGCCCACAGTGAGCCGGGAGTGTCCTTGTCCCCGGCTCCAGCCACAGCTTCTCTGGGCTCCTGGCCTTGTCCCCGCTGTCCCTGACACCCACCCTCCATGTCCTTCACGGCGTTCAGACTGCACGCCAGCCTGGAGCTGGGGTTATTGGGCCTGTTTTCCAGGTAAGAATGTGAGGTCTTATGACCTCCTCAGGTGTCACCGCCGAGGAGCAGGCCCGCCTTGGCCCGGTGGCTGGCCTGGGCAGAGCCAGTGCGCGTCCCACCCCCCGCTGGGCCGCCACAGCCCTGCTGCCCGCAGACACCCGGCTCCGCCAGGCCCGCGCCCCAGAGGAGGACGTTCGCGTGGCCACATAAAAAGCCCATGGGCACGTCGGGCAGGGCCGGATCTCTGCCTCTTGGCTCCTTTCACGAGGAGGCCCTGAGCAGCGGCACACTGATCCCCTGTCCTTTCCTTGACCTGAACAGAGAGACAGGCTCTGCTCTGACAGTCCAGAAAAATGTCCCAAGAACTGAGTCTGGTGGCCCACCCATGGGGCATGCCTGCCGTGAACCTACCCCCAAGTCTGGGAGGGCGGCCAGGCCTGGATCGTATGCCCATTCCACACCATCCTTGGCCCCGGCACCTTCTGCCCTGAGTGGCCGCTAGGGCCACGAGCCCTCCTACCACTGGCACGAGAGGAAGGACGAGATGCCAGGAGAAGGGGAGGCGGATGCTGGGGAGGCGGAAGCCACAGTGACCTGAGCCCTTGGGCCGCGGCAGCAGAGCCGGGCCCCACGCAGGCCTGGGAAGGGGCCCCAGGCTCCCGCTGTGCCGGCGGTGCCGCCGCAGCTGGCCGCGCTCTGTCCTGCACGGCCGCCCAGACGCGCCAACGGCCTGTGCAAGGACGTCGCTGGGGCAGTGGGAGGCAGCCTGCCTCCTGGGGGCGCTGCAGGGTGAGCAGAGCAGAGGCAGCCAGTGAACTTGACTGGAGAGAGGGAGGGCGGCGGGCGCTGGGGCGGCCCGGCCGGAGCAGGGTCGGGGCTGCTGAGTCAGGGCTCTGCTGTGCAGCCGGCCCCAAAGATGTCCTTTCTCAGAATGTTTCTGGAAGCAGCTCCAGTAGCCCCGTGGCCCTTAAGCCAGCCTCCCCTCACTGCCTATCCCCTGCCCTCCTTCTCACCTGAAGCCTCACCTCCCGCCGCGGGCCCCACATGCTGCAACCTTGCTGTTCCTAGGAGCCCCTCTTGCATGTAGACCCTCCTGCAGGGGGCCAGGTAACCAAGGCGGGGACAGCAGGGGACCCAGGTAGGACCGGCCCTGCTGGGCCCCGGCAGCTGCCGTCGCCAGAGCAGCGGCGTTTTTGTAGCCTGTGCCGCTGAATCTTTTTGAAGGAAAGTGTTTGCCCTGGAAGCTAAGCCCCGTCACCTACACAGCAGGCCGTGGGCACCAGCAGCAGCTCCCCTGCTGCACCCAGCCAGGCCCAGGGGCAACGGGGTCACGGGGCCTGTGCAGAGCCCAGAAGTTGTCCCAGCAACAGACTGACAGCACTCAGGCGGAGTGTGTGAGGTGGCAGTGGCCCTCAGCGTGGCCAGGTCATCGGCGCCCTTGGCCCTCCTCCGGCCACCCCAGGCAGGGGGCGCTGAGGTCCATCCCCGACCCCGCGTGTCCTGGGCGTCCGGCAGGGCTGCTCTGCAGGCTGGCCAAGGACTGCCGGCCACTCGTGCGCTTGCTGCTCAGTCACTGGCACACGCCGACCTGCTTATTTTTATGGAGTTTAAGAAGCTTGTAGTCAGCACATTAGACCCATGAGTTCATGGACACTATTGGTAAGAAGGATGTGAATTTCACAGTGTGGATCCATGTGTGGCGCATGATTAAATGAATAGCTGTGTGCAGGGCTGTCAGGCCTGGAAATGTCCCTGAAGTGACCCTGGAGTGCCTCGCTCGGCCAACCCTGAAATCAAGGGTTTTGTGTCGTCTGAGCCTGAGGCCAGGCTCTTGGAGGGGCCTGGGGGCTGCCCAGCAGGGGTGGTGGCTCAGAGGGAGCCCCGCCCAGTCACCCTGCCGGGACCTGGCCTGGCGGTCTCCGCAGCCCTGCGGGGGCTCCTCTGTGCACTCACTCGCACAGGCGGCCCAGGGCCCAGCGTGAGGAGGAGGGGTGAGCTGGGTTCCGGGTCACGCCCCGCGCCGTGGCCTGGCTCCCCCACGCCCCCGCACCTTGCTGTACGGGTGAGTCACTCAACTCCAGTGGTCCCGTGGGAAATGGAGGCTGGGAGCAACCGTGCGGAGCAAGGGCAAGGACCAGGTGGGCGGGCGCAGGGCCGAGGCGCCCGGCCAGCCTGCGCTGCAGCCCCGACTCCG